ATAATCCTTGTTGTTTGCAAAACATTAGGTTTTTGTATCTTACCCTTCTCCTCTTTTATCCACCGCGCCGTCTGCTCAAGGCCTGCTGGCTTTCAAAAGCCGCCTTTTAAAAGCCTGTTTTATGTTCAAAACCCATTCGCCCACGTGACCATGTCCAATATCTGTGATGTGCCGAATCCCCAAATTTACCGACCCTCCCCAATCCAGCGCCCAATTTCACTCGTCCTTTCTTCACTCGTCCCCTCCTTTTCTTCTCCTGCGGTTGTGTTTAGCACCAGGCGTCGGTCACGGTCAACGGCCCAATAACGTGACCAGTCAGTTCGCCGAAGCCAGCTGCACAACACTGGTCATGTGGTTATCCCGCACCCGCTGATCCAACTGCCTTGCGCCAGCCACGTGACATTTCGACGTCGTTGAGCCGACGGTCACGTGGTGTGCAGGGGTGACCGGGCCACGCCCGTCGCGTCTGACCGGGACCGGTACCGGTCGTGAGCTGGGGCGTGTCAAAGAGGTGGCAGCGGCGATAATTTAAAACGGTGACTGAGGCCTGCGATTAGACGCTGGAGAGACAGAGTGGAAACTGCCAGAGCGACAATGCAATGCTTGAAAAGTCCAGAGGGAGTAGCATAAGCTGGAATGAGGTCGAAGGGTGTTCCGTTCAAAAAATGTGCTTGGATAAGAACAAGAAATGCAAGCCATTCTTTAGAAACAAATCGAACCGCAAGTGGCGGCAGCGATCCCACATTGGACTTGTGATCAATCGGAATTCATCGATTCATTTAATGAAGGCTTTTTAACGTTTATGGGCCCTAATGAGTTTGGTTTACGACAGCGTAGCCTCTCTAATGTGCAGTCCAATTAAATAGGCGACTCTGTGTATGATGGCATGTGAACCATTTCATCCATCTTGGTTCATCTCCATTTAAGGCGATTTATGTTACGCTGATAGTTAGTGAGATGCTCTCCAACAACCGAGATCGTCCCTGGCCAATGTTGGAATTTCTAGATAATCTGCAAAGCACGACAATAACGCCCATTGTCTGCTCTGCAAGGCGATCTAAGACACACACCGCCGCAGCTGGTTTTGGTTGCGCAATTTCGCCCTGCCTATGCCCGCGTTGATGCGGAAGTCTTCCGTGTCACGCCCCGTTTGGGTTTGCCCTGTTCGTTTCCTTCCGTCTGGGGCGTGGAAGGGGCGGGGTCGGCCTGGGTGGGGGGCGATCGTCGAGGACACGATGTTTGGCCGTTTCTGATGTAACCAGTGGACTGGCGATCTGTCCCAGACACAAAGTATGCTTAGAACCACCTCGCGATAACACGTAAGCAGCCGCCATGTGCACAGCACCCCGCAAAAAGTGTCCGTGACGGGCGGAGTTTATATTTGCCAAGCTCGGGGGCACCGCCGGCCCTGACGGACCTCTAGCAGCGGGCGAGTCTGCCGACTTGTGTCCGAGTCTGTCTAGTCTGGTGGCCGGTCGGACGGTCCACATGGAGCCCACGTCGACAAAAATTATCAGCTGGCTGCCTGGGACGAGCCCAGCTGCCGCTGTCCTGTGTTTACACAGCCCGGCAGGAGGGGTCGGCGGCGGGTGGCGGCCGGCACGGTGGCCAGTCGGTGGGCGACTGCCGAAACCGGGCGCGTGTCACCGCCGCACAGCCGCCGCCGCCTCCACCGCCGACTTCGACTCCGGCTCCGGCTCCGACTCTGACTCCGACACCAAGTGGTGAGTGCCGCCGGCGGCGTCCCCGCCCCGCTGACGTCGCTGACGACGTACCGTCGGGGTGATGATGGGTCGCGCCCCGCACCGAACACCTGTGGCCCGTCCCGTCGAGACAGGTGTGCCTCGCCTCCCCGACCGGGCTGAGTCGCCGTGATCGATTCTAGAGTGAGCCGGCTACCAGCGATAGCTAGTCTGGCTTCGTTTTTATTCCTAAATAGGTAGGTGGTGTGAGAGAAGAAAGTGAATTATTTGAATGGAGATGAGTACATCAAAATCAATGTGTGTTCATTATACTTTATAGTATGTGTTATACACTATAATATAATGCCATAATATATGTTGCAAAAATGATAAATGGATCACCGAAAGCGATCCAGTAATTCGTTAGATACCAATGCAAATGTCTCGGGCAATCTGTGGTGTTTCACTTGCCCCAGTTGTTTGGACATTGAGGGTGTTTGGCATGCCGTTCATGGCACAGCTTCCAGTCTCCGATGGTAACACTAAACACGGTCCCCAGAGCCCTTCTGATATTTGATGATTACCTCGCATTGCGGCCTCTGCAGTGGGCCGGGCCGCTGGGGAGGACCAGGGACCAGGGTGTCTGTCAGCAGCTGTTTATGGCGCTGCAGCCCACAGACCACTGAGGCCGCACGTGGGAGGCGCCGCCGCCGGGTACCGACACACACCGCGCGCGTATTAACACCCACTTAAATCACCTGAAGCTTTTCACGAGCATATCAATACCATGGTCTGGCCTACTCGCGGCCAGTTTGCACGTTTACATACTGTTTGCCGTGAGTCGTTTTCTACAAACAGGCCTCGAGTCAAACTGGGCGCCGAAGCCGCGATAGACATCGACCTCACGACTTAATAAGCATAATGTATTCCTCCCGGCCGGTGCTGCGGGCCTTTTCGGGCGCTGGGATCTGACCTTCAGCGCACAGTCTGAAGGTCATGAGCCGTGGTCGATGGCCGACAGAAGCCATTGATTGTGGTCCGTGATTCGACGGAGGCATTTCACAACGCCGACCTGGCCGGACCGGTTGGAGGTACACGGCGAGCTGAACTGTAATCCTGGTAGTCCGGCAGCCTGTCCCGCAGCTTGGGCGACAGTGACCGACAGCAAAGGCCATGTGCGACATGAGATGACGGCTACCCGACCAGCAGCAGGCGACAGCCTTGTTGTGGCATTAAGATTGCAAAAACGCCGATAGAACCGTTTGCTTTTACTTTCCAGGAAACTGTAGACAAAAAGTTGGAATTGTGGTGGGATGGTTTAACGTTTTGCTTCGGCATATCACGGGACGCTAAGGTTAGAAATGATCTCCGATGTAAATAAATTTGAAAATAAAACGACTATGATGCAAGCAGGAAGAGATCGAAGGCCATAGAATGAGAGCGATGAGAGCCAGCCAGGTCCGGTCGGCTCGGCCAGCCCGCGATCTCGTGCTGAAATGGCGGATACACCTTCGCAGCGTGGTATCGACCTTATAAGCAGGACCAGCGAGCTCGCTCAGGCTCGCACCATGGGAGCTGACTGATCACCTCAGTGCGGCTCCGGGCGCGGCTCCGGCCCGGAGCCCGCCTCCGCCTCCTCCGCCGCCGCCTCCGCCTCCTCCGCCGCCGCCCCGGCGACCTCCGCTCGTCCGCCGGCCGAGCGGAGGAGCGCAGGAGCGGAGGAAACCAGTTTGCTGCCGGCCGAGACTCGAGAACTGGCCGCCCGCAGCGCCGGCTGTCCTGGCCGGTCCTTTGTGACCTGGCGCCACCGGCGTGTGACTTTTCCCCAGTCATCGCACCGGCGCGGCCGTGCGGCGTTTTCCGTCTCGCGCACAGTTGTGAAGTATGGGCCCTTGAGTGCCGAGATGGTCAGGTTGGGTTGAGATACCCCCTGCCGGTGAGGTTCGTAAACTCAATCGTCAGTCCGCCCTCGGCAGGCGTGGTGTTCTCAGACAGTTTTTCGCTAGTTCTCGTTTTCTTTTCGCATGCATCCGGTGCGTCATTTTTCCTCCGCGTGTGCAGGAAAATTGGATAAAACAGACGTGTGATGCTGTGCAAAGCAGAGCTGTTTTCGCCAGACAGGGACTGCAGAGAATTACAATATATTCCTGCCCGGGGCCGGGATGATTCAATAAATGCCACCGAGGTTTTTTAGCGAAAAATCCGAGGGCCGTTAGGCCCGAGGTGATTTTGCTAAAAAAGCGAGGTGACATTTATTGAATTCCCGGCCTTAGGGCTGGAAGGTGTTTCCCATACCTGCCAAAAAGCTCACAACTCTATGATAGTGACGTCAGCAGCCGTGTGGTTCAACGTGTTTAACCACACCCCTTGAACCACACGGCTTGTAATATTAAAGCATTGCATTAAACTTTGAAAAGTGTGGTACAGTGCACGTGCCGTTTAAATGCCTGGATGTCTCGATTTAATCATGCAATGTAGCAGGTATGGGAAAATATGTGCACGACTGCTCAATCTGCCATATTCTGCACCGTCCTGAGAGCTTGTTCTGAGAATTTCCTCTCCGTAAGCTGATTTACCGCGTACGGGTGAGGTGGTCCTTGTCTCACCATCCATAAACAAGATCCTGTTTGGCTAACAGCAAAAATGTCCAGTTTGAGGACCATTGTATGGCAAACCTTTGTTCCAGGCACTGTTTTGGGCTAGACACATGTTTATCGAAATGTTCTCTGGAAACATCAAAATGTCACTGATGAATTTGAGCTTTCGGACAGTGGTAGGTAAGCATAAACTAACGAACAACTTTCCCTTTAATTTATATTAATCAACTGATATTATATGGTTATTGACCACCTTTTTCCTTCATATATTCAACGTTGCGGTCAACCGGCTGTTACAAGTCGCGCTTGCCCTTCCAGCCACTTTGAACCCTCTAGTCTAGCCCAGACTAGGCAACCCGATCCCAAGTTTTCCCCAACCTGCCCCACGGCTGCGCCCGACTGGTCCAATTGGCTGGCCGGCCCCCTGCCCGTGCGATCGCCTCATCGATCGCCTCCTGTCCACAGCACCTCCACTATCACTGCGCATCGTACCTCGCCTAATGACCACCGATGGAAAGCAGCTCGGACCACTTCTTGCCGCCCCCTGGCCGCCCCGACTCGCCACCGAACTGTGGGACTGCCAGTTGCCCCACCGCTTGACGCAACGATAGCGAGCGTCGCGCATAAGAACCTCGGCCGGGTAGACAGCTCGTCAGCCGGCTGACTGCCGACACAATCGTCCACCTATGTCGTTCGTTAGCCTTAACCAGTTTTTGTACAGACTTGTCCGTCGAGTCGGACCAGTCGTCAGATCTGGGCTCGAGGACAGTGCAAGACATGGCGAAAATCATGCAGAGGATGATCCACGACGGTAAGTCCCCGAGTCAATGTGTTGCTGTAGTTGTAGGCGGTCAGGTGTGTTAGTTGCAGTCTGATACGGGGAGACTGGTTGCCACCCACACTGACACTGATCCAACCTGTTGGCTGGGGTCTGAGCTTTGCTGTTGCATAGCAGCGAAGCAATGTATTTTTACTCTAAAACAGAGAGAAAATTATTTAAAATATTTAAATTCAAGAACACATCACTTACATTTATATAAAATAGCGTGCATTTGTAAGTCGATTGTAGATTGCAAGACAACATTTTTGGCATACAGCTAGCTTGTGTATGCTGTTTGTTGCCTGCAGAAAGAGAATGAGAGGAAAAGAGAGCGAGAGAGTGGAGGAGGGAGACGTTTTGCAGCAGTTGGAGGTGCCTTGTGCTCCGTCGTGTTCGAACGAGGTGCACCATTGAGCACAGCAGGTGACCTGAGCGTGCACTATGCACATAGGCAGCTCAGTGCATATAGTGACCAGCAGGGTGCATAGGGTGGTGGTCGGCGCTCTTTATAGTGTAAGGGCCGAGTCACCCCGGTCGCACAGCGGAACAGAGACCGTCTCTGTTCTGACAAGCTACCCGTGATCGATCAAACTGGACATTGAACACAGTCTCGAGAAATCGCTCAGTCATCCAGAATTATGGCTTATGCTGGATTATCGTGGGATAAAATATCAAAGAATTGGGCGAAGAGATAGTTTCAAATGAATCGTGGGATTACGGGTGGTTGGTATAGGGTACGAATTGTGATATGACATCGAATGCTTAGCGAATTAATTTTACAAGCACCGACCGATTTTTGCACATTTACTCCTTATCAGTTGAATTGCACTGGAATTCTAAAGTGAAAAATATCAAGTCATAATGGGATGATCGTCGAACTCTCGCATGCAGCCAACAGCCGATGGCTTTCAACTCGCGCTGAAGTTAGAGATTTGTGTAAAATGTGCATCGAAAATAGACGTGCATTGCATACTCCAAAGACCAAATTCGTTATAGCAAATCCAAGTGCACCGAGTTATCCGGGAATCTAATGAATACATTCATTGTCATTATGTATCGAAGACACTGCGGTGCAGCCACCGCATTCATGACAGTCCGGTGTTCAGCAACCCGGGGATTTTCTTCCCTGACCGCAGCAAACGGGACAACACGCAAAGACGGGAGCTCTAAGAACTAATGTAACCTCGGTATCTCTCTACCGATCAGCCCAGCCTCTGCCGTGGCGCCCCCCGAGATATGGGGATTTGAGCACCTGTCGGACCACCCCCCCCCCCCCCACCTAATCCCCCGCCCGGACCAGAGGAGGCACAGTGGAGTCCCCGGGACCCGGCTCGCAGGCAGGTATTCAGTGCAGACGGTCGCCCACTACACGTGTGCTCCGCACTGGCGCTGCAGGCTCGGGGTGGCCGAGCGAGGCTCGCCTGTATCCTCCCGACGGCGGACTGCTGGAATGAAAAATGGTCGGATGCCGCCCCGAATGGCGGGGATGGGTGGCGTTGATTTTGTTTACCCTGCCACCTTGGCCCTGGCGCGGCCCGGCCTTATGCAGATGGTGCGCGGCGGTGCTCGCACTAATCAGTGCCCAGTCTAATGTGCATAGGGAATCCCCGTGCAGAGGCTCAGACAGCGCTTTGAGAAGTTCATCAATGCATCAGTTGAAATAAAAAGCACCCAAAGTTTATTAGTTTATTTTTAAACCACCAAATTCCAAAAAATGGTGTGCGTGCGAACTGCGGAACGTTGAAAGGCAACAGCGTTAAGCCATGTATGCCGGTACAGCCTAACTTCAGGCGCCTACTACCAGCGCCATCTATGGAGAGTAATGTAAGCTAGATCGTGGATAGTAGTCCGTCAGGGACAGTGTATCGTGAGCATTGGAGATAATTTTGATCCTGGTCGCCTGACATTTAGGTGCCAATAGGTGGTCTGATATATCTCAGAAAGAGTCTCCAATAAAGGCCACGCTGTTTATCATACGTCCCTGTAGGTCATCGAGATTGAAGACGCCTGGTTCTTGTCACGTAGGTAAATTATCAATGGAGTCAGTCATGGTAGCTTTTGCAGAATGTGACCTTTTATCTATAAGATCGTTTGGCAGCACTTTTGCATGAAGTGTTGAAATAAGCTCTGTTAGAGCAACAGTAACAAAAATATCGTTTATTTCTCATTTTAATCACTGATTTTGTCGTTCATTATGGCTTCCCTGTAGACGATAGTAACAGTGAAAACTCAGAAAAGGCCTCTCTGCGAGCGTTAAATTGATGTCAAATGAAAGGTGGTTGCGTTATTCAAATATGTAGGATATTTGTTTAATCAATATCATCGAATATTGTTCATTGCCAATGGAATGAGCGACAGGCACCGATCTTACATGATACTGTCTCTTAGCTTATCAATTTGTTAGTTATCAAAACGTTCGAGACCTTCAGAACATGGTGTGAAGGTAACTGTTGCGCCAGCCAAAGTTTTAGCTTAATTACAAATTCCCTCCGGTCGGCGGCACCCGAGTCCCCCTCGACTCCCCACCCTCCCAGCCTCCCCGGCGCGGTGCCTGGCCTCGCCGCTGGCACCGGTGGCCAGTCAGCTGATCGGCGAACCGGAGCGAGACGCGCTGATCAGCCCGGGGCGACAACAGGTGCCGGCATTCCGTGCAAAGCGAGCGCACCTGCGCCGCCGGCCGGCCGGCCATTAATTAAAACTGCCGCCGGGGAGAGGCGGCGGGAGCGGCGGCCGCTGAACCCTGCCCCGGTCCGCCGGGGGGCCCGCGGGAGGGGAGGGGAGGGGACGGGGGATGGAGGGAGGCCGATACACAGATCCGGATTAAAAATGCACAGAACCGGCGCCAGATAAATACGGGAGATAAGGTCGACTGTGCAGTTTTAGTGCCTGGCGTCTTGTGGTAAGAGGAGATAGTCACGAGTCTGACTTCTGAGTTCTGTGGGTGGGTCTTTCTACACTTTCAATAACAAATCAACGTATTAGTGTTGCCTAACGGGGTTTTACAATGTTACAACATAGCAAAAAAGTAAATCATTAGAATCATAAATGGAAGACACAAAAACCATTTGGGTTTGTATTCCCGCCTGCATCGCTCAACGGCATTACCCTATCCCAGTGTTGACAATCTCGTTTAGCTATCCGTTACAAAACCTACATGGCACAGTTCCCTGGTTTTAGACGGAGGGCGCGAATGCGATAGAACGACATTCCATGGGCGTAGGAACGTCATGAAAAGTGGGTGGGCCACCCTGTCAAGGGGCCTCCTTTTCCAGGGGGCCTCCTATTTTCAGGGGCCTCCAACTTTTGCCTCGTCCTGCTGGCTGCTTTCAAGTATGACCTCCAAATCTAGCTTCTGAGATCGGGCAGATATACCCAGGAGCGTAACCGCTTAAGCGAACAGTGCAGAAAGTCCGCACCATTTTTAAAACTCATTCCCCTCCGATTTTTTTTTTTAGAATGTATTAGCCGCAAACGGCGCATGACCACTGAAAACCCTTACACAAATGTCTTCCTCGTTTCCCAGGTGCCCCCATTAGCTTCATAGGCGCCCTCTTTGGCATATAAGCGCCCTATGTATAGTCATCAGAGACATCCCATACCTATATGTCCCACAGTCGCCCCATTGTCGCATACAATGTGCGCTTATCATAGGCGTCTCTCTTTTATGGACACTTGAAGGCACCTCTCTTTGCCATGCCGGCGCCCCCTGTTTCTTATGAATGCACCCCCATGGCATTGATCAATTGCAATTTGCAGACCTCTATTGCATGTGGACGCCCATATATGTAGGCCTCAGAGGCGCCCCTCTTTCGCATTGAGGCGTTCCTAATGGGCTTCATAGGCGCCCCTCTATTGCACGTAGGTGCACTACTGTTTCAGAACCGCTCCCCTTTGGCATGGAGACGCCCACCTTTCGTACGGAGGAGCCGCTGTGGTTCTTAGAGACGGCATGGTGCTCCCAGACGCAGATGGGGCTCTCGGAGTCGACAGTGTGGGACCTTCAGTCGCTGATGGGTGCCCGCCAGATGTGGACCCTCGGAGACGCCGGCATGGGGCCCTCAGAGATGCCGGTATGTGGCCCTTAGAGACACCGGTGTGGAACCCTCAGATACTTCAGTGTGAAGCCCTTACAATTGCTGGTGTGGAGCTATGAATGCGCTGGCTTAAATCCCTCAGAGGCCGGTACATGGACATAAGAGCTCAGTGAGAGCTTGTGTTGTGCCTTCAGTGGCCTTGTGGAGCCGTTAGACATCAACATGGTGCTCTCAGGAGCCGGTGAGTCCTCAGAGTCACCGGTGTGGGGCCTTCCGAGCTCCGAGATACTGGTCTGGGGCCCTCAGAGGTGTCGGTGTGGGTCCTTCAGATGTACCTATAGACTATAGAGCCTTGAGATGCACAGGTGTGGTGGCCCACAGAGGCGCCGGTGTGGGGCCCCCAGAGCCACCGATATAGGGCCCTAAGAGACACTAGTATGACCCTCAAAGGCGCCGCTGTGTGGCGCTCATAAACACTGGTGTTGAGCCATCACAGGCGGGTGGAGCCGTTAGAGGCCGGAAAGGGCCCTTAGATGCCTACAAGGAGCCTTCAGAAGCCGGCGTGGCACGTGGGGATAAGCGTGTCTACTTAGGAGCCCTTGAGTTGCTCTCATGAGCTCTGTGGGGCCCTACCGAGCCGAAATATGGCCACGGCCAGTTGCCGCCGCATGGCTCTTCGGACTATCATTCTCAGGGGCCTCATCTGCCTAGTTTGAATAGAAGGGCCTCTCAGACCATCAGTCTCATGGGCCTCCTCTGGCTAGTATAAATAGAAGGGCCTGTTAGACCATCAATCCTAGGGGCCTCCTCTGGTTAGTATAAATAGAAGAGCCTCTCAGACCATTAATCTCAGGGGGCTCCTGTGGACAGTATAAATAAAAGGGCCTCTCAGACCATCAGTCTCGGGGGCTTCCCTAGAAAAGTGTAAATGTGGATAGAGGGCCCCTCAGATTCATTAGGAGTGGACCTCTCTGACTATCAGTCTCAGGGGCCTCTTGTGGCCAGTATGAATATAAGAGCCTCTCAGACCATCGGTCTCAGGGGCCTCTTCTGACTAGTGTGGATAGAGGGCCCTCCCAGACCACCGGTTTCAGGGGCCTCCAGTGGCCAGTTATATGAACAGAAGGGCCTCACAGCCATCAGCCTCGGGGGCCTCTTCTGACTGGTGTGAATATGAGGGCCTCTCATACCATCAGTCTCAGGGGCCTCCTCTGCCTAGTGTGAATATAAGGGCTTCCCAGGCCATCAGTCTCAGGGGACTCTTCTGACTGGTGCCGGATTGAGGGACCTCCCAGACCGAAAGTTTTGGGGGTCTCCTGTGGCCAGTATAAATAGAAGGGCCTCTCAGTCCATCAGTATCATGGGCCTCTTCTGCCTGGTGTGATTATAAGGGCCTCTCAGGTCATCAGTCTCAGGGGCCTCCTCTGACTACTGTGTAGATGGATAGGCCTCCCAGACCATCAGTCTCAGGGGCCTCTTATGACTATTGAGGATAGAGGGGCCTCCTCTGACTAGTGAGGGTAGGGGGCCTCGGCTAGACCGCCAGTGTCAGGGGCCTAAATTTATTCTGACTAGTGTGGATGGAGGGGTCTCCCAGACCACCAGTCTCAGACCTCTGACTAGTGTGGATAGAGGGGCCTCCCAGACCGCCAGTGTCAGGGGCCTCCCCAGACCAGCGTGGATATTGGGGCCTCCCCAGACCAGCGTGGATATTGGGGCCTCCTCAGATCCACTAGGGCCTCTCAGGCCATCAGTGTCAGGGGCTTCGACTGACAAGTATGAACAGAGGGCCTCCTTGGATCCATCACGGCCCCATGGAGTCCGTGCGTGGGGATTCGTGGAACTTATTTTTACCGAGTTTGTTTATTCTGGAAGGTGACGACGTCCTCTCAAATCGAGAAGAGGGGCCTCGAGTAAAAAGTGGGTGGGCCAAAACACATGGTTGGCCCCCCCACCTCGAAAAGTGGGTGGGCACTTGCCCACCTGGCCCCCCCTGTTCCTACGCCTATGCGACATTCAATGTCACCTGCACGTTTACGACTTTCGACCCAGTGGGCAGCACGCTAGCAATTGTAGACGATACCATGTATTACTTGCTACACGTCATATGACGGTAACTGGACGCTTTATCTTGTGTGGGACTCGATAGAAAGGTGGTGAAACCGTTTAGGGACTTTCCTTTGCTGGGGGTTGACTGGCATACCTCAGAAAAAGTTCCCTGTACTCCTGTGAAGCCTAGGAACTAGGAACAACATATTATAAGGCTGAACATTTACTTTTGTTGCTATGCATTTTGGCTGGTAGCTTAAAATTTCCCTTTCAAGTTCATTTGTTGCCTTCACAGAAACCTCCCTCCCAACAATCACTGTGTTGTCATGTGCCCGCCGGACAGTGAGCATGTTAACCTGTCAAAGAAATCTCGAACTGTTCCCGTTAGTTTCTAGCTTGCAAAATTGTGCTCTCATCTCTCGGTATACCTTCGGTCACTTTTTGGATTTTTGGGTGTCGACTGTCTATACCAGGGTCATGCTGCTGTCAGTCACCCTGAGGCTAACTGCCGGCGGCGGTATAGTGCGGTCAGCTCACCGATAGTGAAAGTGATCCGAAACCACGGCGTCCCGGCCGACTGCGACTTGTTTCGGGCGTCAGTCCAGTCCTGTCCCCGGCTCGGCAGGCATCAAACGACGGCTGCGGTCGTCCCATGGAGGCGAGAAATCTGGTCTGAGCGCTCTGAGGGCCGATCAACCATGGCAGGAGAGAGGGGCAGAGCACAGAGAAAGGGAGCGGTGGTCTTGAAGCCGATTAATAACTTTATTTTGTTTTTACTTTCGTATGTACCTATCTATTATTTAGGTAGTTTGTTGCAGGCCTAGGTATAAAGAAGTCATTAGTTTCTGGAACGAAGCCGCTTGCGTCAGAATATTGAGACATGGCAAAAGGCCTCTACTTATCTAAGAGTGGTTAGGGTCCTCTGTAACTTGAACCACCTCGCTCCTCCCGAACTAGTGGGGTAAACCCATTACCCAAGGTCGCCCATGGTGCGTGAAACACCCCTACTACGGTAAACAGCTTATTACGCTCGAGCGCACTCCACGAGCGCAGTTCGACCAGCTCTCGTCCCTGCTCGGGCCCTCGAATCAAACCGACGCGTGCTATCTCGCTCACGCGTGCATGTATAATTGTGAGCGACGTGCCGGGGCAGGGGGAGGGGAGGGGAGAGGGGAGGGAGTGCGTACCGCGCCATGATTGCTCTAACTTTCACTGCTGGCGGCGCGGCGCGCAGTCACAGACAGGCTCGGTCGGTCGGGAGTCGGTGCCACTGACCGCGAGTCGCCGCGCCCCCGCCCCGGGCTACAGCCGCCGGGGACGCGCCGGGCCGCGACGGCAGCGCCACCTGTGCCACCCGCCGGCAGGGGGCGCTGCGGCCACCGCCGCTGTCGCTGGGGTTTGCTGGTAAATGCTAACTCAGCAAAGTGTCAAGGCAATCTGGTCGATTCTCAGCTCTGAGCTTTGAACAAATATTTACCAGAAGGGTTAGACAACCCGAGGTCGTCATCCTGACAAAGCACACAGATAGGCACTATATCATCATCAATCATTAGACGTTCATCTGTAATACAACTTATCGTGACTCTGCTTCGTGCCAACGCGCAAAGACGTGATACGCTAACTGAGCATACTAACTTGCTCAGCACACACAACCGCTATAAGATCGCATTTATCAAAGATACTTGAAGCTTCCTCGTTCTTTGTGCAACACTTATGCAGGGTGTGATGACTCGTCACTCGTCAGACCACACACCGGTATCCAGGGCTTCACTCTTCGCTCTGGTTGAACTCAAAGTAGATGATTATGAAAAGTCACCTACCTACCCCTCATCTAAATATCTTGAGCCCCCGCAATCCACGGTACCGGGATGTGGGGTCGCGATGACACAACAGTTCGCGACGCACTGAGCAGAGCGACCCGGAGTGCGGATAGCTAGCTCACCCTAGAATGCTAGCGTGTTTTCATGACATCTGTTGCTCCCGATCGGGGTATCGTTGCGTGGGTGATACGGTATGTGGCTTTTGCGGCCAATCATAGACACGGCTGGCTGCACGTGCACAGTTATGCTACTGAAGCGTGAAGCATATTCCTCGCTGGCTCTTGGGTGAGGTTTAGCGGCATGATCATCTCCGTTACCAAAGATGCAGTTGCTTGGTGGTCCGTTGAAATGTGATCTGGTTTGCAGTGGTTTGAGAACTGCAGAGGAATGGGTCCAATATGGTTTATGTTGGTGTTGGGTGGTATGTCTCTGTTTTCTGTCTCATTGTGCATTAACCGGATGCTTCTGGCAATGGGTGATCTGCTCATCTTTTGAGGGTGCTCACTGCTCAGACACCAGGCAGAGTTTCTTACGATTGATTATTAACAGCATCCTGGGGCACTTGGCTCGTTATAAACATTCGGGCCAGTAAATAATACTGCACTTGCGGGCTGGTTTCGATCGTTCTCGTCCTTAGAATTAAGCAGGCCTATCACCACGGTTCAAAGGCACATGTCATACCTACACATCACAGACAACATAGCGAAGTCTGGGTTACAGCGTCTGGTGATTTTTGTTTAAAACTTTTTATGAGATACTTGCCAGCCTCCATCTACCTCTGAACCGCATACGGCTGCTATCACGATGCCACTAGTGCTGACTGGTTGTACTAATAGTTCTGCCCCTGTCTGGCAGGTGGCAGGCTGGTCGCCTCGTCCACTGTCCTTTTCGGTGAGCCCGGGGGCCCGCCTGGTGATGTCTGGTCGTGCCTCCTATCCGTCGTCACTAAGGTTTATTTTCTTGTGTTTCAGGCTGTAAATTCGACTCTCCAGAACCTATCAATCAGCGGTTGGAGCCAGGAATCTGGTGAGTGGCTATTCGTAATGGACGGGATACCTATATGAAGGATAAATAAAGCTCACGTGAAATAAAGGGCTTAATCTTAGCAATATTGAATTACAATTACATTTTTTATATTAGTATAAAGATGTTGACTTTAGTCCATTGGTAGGTTTGTGCATAACCATGGCGATCTTAGAATGTAGATTGTCCTGTTTTCACGGTTATTGTGTCGATTTAATTTATGCATCTTTTATCGTCCCATTTTCCGATTTCATACCTAACGAATGGGAGGCGGGGTAAGAGATTAGGAAGGACGGAGCGTCCTACGGAAGGGGAAATGGGCGGAGGACGGCAATCGAAATGTGAAATGGAAGGGTAGATAAGCCCCCATTTGAAAGGGAATCATGCAGCTCAAACATTCCGACTGACAGGATGGGCCTGGGTTTCACCGTGCAGAGCCTGTGTTGATTGTTCACTGGGACCCACCCCTGCAAACGAACGGGACGCAGCAGCCGAGTCACTGCATCCTGCGGGCGCTGCGGACCGGCGGGCCGTCCTTTTTCACCCGGACACTGAAAATACCATTCCCTGACATTTACACAGTTGTCGATCTCCCTCGCTGCCTCCCCGCCGCCCCGGGGCCCCCACCCTCCCCTATGATGGCGGACAGGACCACACGTGGCCGGCCCGGAGCGCAGGGACCCGGGGGGGGGGGAGAGGGAGGGCGCGGGGCGCGGGCAGGGCTCCGAGCGGGCCGGCCCGTCACCGACTCATTTGCGCCGCCGGCTGACGAGTCTGCCTGCCGCGCCGTCCGCAGCTCCAGAGAGGAGGTGGTCGACAGCAACTGTGTGGTGCGAGCCCGCGGTCTGCCCTGGCAGTCGTCCGACCAGGACATTGCCAACTTCTTCAGGGGACTCAACATAGTCAAGTGAGTACCTCCGCCGCCGCGCCGTCCTGCGCGTGCTGACGGTCAAGAGACGCCGACGCGTGGCTGGGCCGTATCGCGCGGCCGTGATGCGTTCCAGGCGTGTTATTTTAGCCGGAGATGTCATGGAGGGACTGGGGTCGTATCTGTGAAATCCATGCCAGATGGTTCATTAGGTTCTGTGGAAACGTTATCGGCACAGTATTAACTCATGTAGGCTGTATTTTTATCATGTTAGCATTACCATTGTACGGCCATTAATTATATTACTGTCACTTTTTGTGTGCTTAGTAATGACTCAATTGTTTTCAAGCATATTTTCGCATCCTTCGCGGCATTTATGCGATATCGATAATCAATTTCACCGTCGACAAGCCACCACTGACGAGTCTTTAGCGCTAATGGTGTTGCGTTTTGCCGCGTATCGTATCGGAACGGCGCGGTAACAAAGCGGCCTGCAGTGGCGGCGGCGTGGCGGTTCAATACGTGGCAATAGCTGTGTGGACGGCGTGAACGACGGAACAGGGGCGCTGGGGGATAGTGGGAGAACGGAGGGACAGTGGGACAGTCGCAGTGGGACAGTGGGACGGTCGCGGTGGGACAGCGAGGCGGAGGAAGGGACAGTGGACATCGCGAGGAAAGATTTACGGGACGGCGGAGTGCCGGGACAGAGGAGAAAGAGTGGAGGGATAGTGGGACAGCTGGGACGGTGGGACGGGGGGACAGCTGGATGGCAGAAAGGCGGGGCGTGGGGGAGGGAGACTGGGAAGCACAGCTGGTCGGTGGTCGCCAACCGGAAGTTCCAGTCATTATACAAAGGACACATGAGACGGGAAAAGGGGAGGGAGTTAAATGTTCCGCAAGCATTTGCGACACTTCGAGCTTTGCGAACTTCGAAATTTCGCCGAACATCGCGAAACTGGTCAGCAAGTCGGCACGGGCAGGGACGATACGGGACGGACGGACGGGCTCTACGGGATGGCGGCGGGCCATTACGGGTCTCTGCGCCGGACATTAGGGGAGCGGAGTGGGCCGCAGCGGGGGCGACCAGTGACTGCTCGCCGACTCAGTCGGTCTCAGTGCGGCGACCATCGATCGCAGCCGGTATTGGTGGCGCAGCCCACGCCGCAGCTGTCAACCCGACACCTCCGTCCGACACAGCCTTCAGAGCTGTCACACCGCCCGGCCTGTCATCGAGCCGCGTGGCGGGCCGGCAGGTCAGGGCGCGGTGGCCGGAGGTGGGTGAAAGGTCAGGTCAGGTCGAGTCAGGTTTAGAGTTAGGTCATTGGGGATTATCAGGCTATCATGTTACGGATAACTCACGTAGAAATTTAATCACCAAAAGAAAATACCCCGATGTCTCTCTCGGCGTTTTCCATTTCAGTAGATTTCGTTTGTGGCCGCCAATGACATTTATTGACACGGCCCGTTCCCTGCGCTGTACTCCCCGGGGTGCTGTGGCCGGTCGTAGAGGTCCTTCCCTCGGCCGGACGCGTCGACAACCTGTCGCCTCGGAGCTCCTAATCGAAGCAATTACGTGCCGGCTCATACGGAGTGGTCGGGGCTCGCCGTTGGCCCTCTGTTTCGGGGCTCGGCGGACGGTCAGTCGTGGTGCCGACGCCGTGTTCGGTGCACTGTGCAGAACGTCGCCGACTCCGACAGCGCTGTTTACCTGACAAACACGATTATCGATCTGTGAAACGCGCCCGCGGTGCGCTCCGCGGACGCGAGGTGCTGTCTCGCGCGCGCTCGGTCCTGTGCGCCGACAGACCGGCTCGCTCCGCGGGGTGGTCTGGCGCACGGGACGTCTGGTCGGTCGTCTGTGTCGCGCGGTCGCGGGGCCTGGTGCGTCCCGAGTCGGCGGACGGAGAGCCGTGCGAGTGGTGAGGAGAGCGACCTCGCTGCGTCACGCTGGGCGGAGGAGCCCTGTTGAGACGTGCTGAAGACGCTCCGTTGGTCGTGCGCCGCGCTTGAGCTGTGTCGGCCACTGATAGTGCCGGCGAGCGCCTCCTCAGCTGATAAGATAGCGCGCGCCGCGGGACGCGACGGCCACTCGGTTGGGTGCTCGCCGATCGCCGCTCGCCGGGCCGACTCTCTGCCGCTCGCCGTCCCCCAGTGTGCACCTGTGTCGGTCTGCAGCTGAGGCCGCGCTGCCGCCGCCGCCACCGCAGCCGCCGCGACAAGGACCAGTCGCGTCGCGTCCGCCGCCGCCGCCGCAGCACGCGCCCCAGCCATGCTGCCCAGTACGTCACAGTCGCACTTTGGTAGCTATCCTTACCCCTCGCCGTACGGCGCCAGGGGCGGCGTGGCGCTCTGTCTCAGCCAACAGGGTCGGCGCAACGGCGAGGCGCTTGTGAGGTTCGTCAGTCAGGAGCATCGCGACATGGCGCTGAAGAGGCACAAACACCACATCTCGAACCGCTACATCGAGATCTACAAGGCCACCGGCGAGGACTTCGTCAATGTCGCAGGAGGTAAGCAACTCAGGGAGGGAGAGTGGTAAACCGGGGGGAGGGTGGTAAACGGGGGAGGGAGAGTGGTAAACGGGGGAGGGAGGTTGGTAATGGGGGGAGGGAGATTGGTAAACGGGGGAGGGAGATTGGTAAACGGGGGAGGGGAGATTGGTAAACGTGGGAGGAGTCGGAGGTGGTTCATCGGAGGCTGCTTCAAGAGAAGCCCACCCTGCATGTGTTTGTGTACGCTGTAGGTACGGGATCGGTTGATGTCCGTTAATGGATAACGTCAGGCTGGCTGCCGTCAGCCTCACGCGCTTGTAAGACATCCGACCATCTGACCAGTTGTTGCGCAACGAGGCCAATGAGTTACGAGGGTGCTTCCTTGTTAATTAATATCCTGTAAGTTTAATGTTTAATTTGGTCAGTGTCGCTCTCATTATGGCGTCAATTTATAATTGTGTTACAATTCTTTCGGCAGCGATGATTATTTATAAATTATAATTCATTTTCAGGCATGATACGACACATTTTTGCGATGCCTATCTGTGACAAAACTTATAATGGTGCATAGTTATTGTCTTAAAAACGTTTTCTTTATTTTGAAAATAACTGAGCTTTAACGTAAGTAATAATGTGCACTGGCATCGTAAATATTCACTTCCTTTGGAGCTATTAAGTTATGTACATAAATTGCCCTCATGTAACAGTGGCACTGGTCCCATTTAGCACTGAAGTCTGAACCGGTACTAAATTAAGGGAAACATGTGTTATTTTTAGCGCAATTCTCAGGCTAACAATCAAATAATAAGAAGCCTGCAAAAGTTTATCGATATAAGTTATATGAATGTCACGTTATCAAAATGAACGCCATTTGAACATTAAACTGAAGCGATATCTCGGGCGATGCCCCATTCCAAAAGCGTCTGCCGTTCCCTTTGACGCATTCCAAAAATGCTGAGTAAATTTGTCACCTCACTCGCGTATTGCGCGCTACGCAAGTGCAGCGTTTGTCTATTCTTTTCATCGTATAGTCGGTCAAATATGTATCTTTCCCGGCCGGCCCACCCCACGCTGGGCAGGTCGGTAACTTGGCTGAATCCGCCGGCCGCTGCGAGTACTACGGAGGGGAGGGGACAGGTTGTGCGGTTGCCGCGTCGGCCAATGAGCGCGGACCTGGCGAGCGGGCTGGGGCCACGGCGTGTTGACCTAATATGGTCAAAGGTTCATGCCCTGCGGGTATGGTCTGCGGCCAGCTGGCCCACTGATTGAGCCACAGCACCGGGTCGCGGAAAGGTTTCGATAGGTATCTGAATTGGAGAGTGGAGACCGTTAGCTTGAACTTGAGTGTAGTCGCTCTAGGTTTGAGATGCCGTATCACTGCACCGTTTTTGAAAAGGGGAGAATTATTCAGTTGAGTGATGAGGGTAGAACGGTTGCAGAAATCGCACATCAAGTTGGCCGGTCATAAATAAATAATTGGCCGGTCGTAAATAACCGGTCATAATTCGATTAAATATTTCTCTTGCGCTAATCATCATATCACCAGTATAGCGCCTTTTGGGGCGACTAACGGAGCGAGCGAGAGGGTGGGCCTTGCACGTGCGCAATTGCGAGGGGGTACCTCCAACTGACTTGTGCATGGCACCCTACTAACCGGTCTCTAGCGATGTGCCAAATTTGGGCACAATCGGCCCAGCCGTTCTCGAGATCTGGAAGCGGCACTCTGCACGTGCGCACGTGCGAAATGGGTCCCAACTGACTTGTGCACGGCACCCTACTAACCGGTCCCTAACTGTGTACCAAATTTGAGGGTAATTGGTCGAGCCGTTCTCGAGATCTGGAAACGACCCCTGCACGTGCGCACGTGCAGCAGCGCCCCAACTCTGGCACATGGATATGCAGTGCCTAGTGGGTGCCTACCTACATGCCAACTTTCAGCGCAATCGGCCAAGTAGTTACTGAGATATTGCAACAATTACAAAACGGACATCTCTTCGTTTTGCACGTGGCACGTGCATAAGGGGTCATCCACATGCATCAGGAATAGTCCAATACTTGGTAGAAGGAATGAAGCTACCCTACAAAAATTACCGCGTGTAAATCGGTCAAGTGGTTGCTGAGATATAAGCCTCGCAAAAGCGTGACCACGGCCGGCCGGCCGGCCGGCCGGCCGGCCGGCCGGCCGGCCGGCCGCTCATACTCAGAAATTTCCGTTAATCTAAGGAAAGACTACGCTCGCTTCGCTCGCTCCGTAACCAAGCATTCGATCGTATCAAGAGCAACCATCTTAATTTTTAGGTCAGCGACCCCTGTTGAAACACCAGATAATCCTTTGATAGCTCATAGCACTCAGTCTACAATTTACACGGCGCATGAAAGCACAGCCATCATTAGACCATCGCGCTGCCCTCACATTCGTTAGATTCCTAACGCATCCGCTTGCTCGCCTCTCCCGGCCAGACCCGCCGGAGCACCCGGCGGCGAGGCCGTCCAGTGCTGGTCTGCGGTCACTCTCCAGCCGGCCGCTGTGTAGCTCCGCCCCCCGCGCGTGACGTCACAGGGCCGCCAGAGCCGCCAGGGCAGCTGGGGTGTGGGCTCAGCCAACTATCGAATCCAGACCGTAGCGCCACTTGGCGGCCGGGAAAGATACATATTTGACCGACTATACGTATGCCACGTCACGCTACCGAACGCGTTCGGTTGGTTGTCGGCCCATGTCGGACAGAATGGAGGGGGGAGGGGGTGACGGGACAGGTGGGACAAGACACGGGGAAACAGTGGGGGGGGGGGGGGGTAACGCAGCTGCATCGATGTCGGTCGGCCCTCTTGCCCGTCAGCCGCCAAGCGGCCGTTTCTAATCAATAGCGAACACCTGAGGCAGAGAAATGGCCGCACAGTGCGGCGCTATCCGCCGGTACATGTGCTGCGGCGGCTGTGGTGCACCGCGGCAAAAACGACACATCGCGACACGCGTCACCGCGTCACGATTGCCACGCCGCGCCACGCCATCTGACGGCCGTGCCGTGTGCGTGTACATTTTGCACTGTGCAGTGTGCAGAGCACCATGCACTCTGTATCTACATATACGGACGGTTAAGCGTGCTGATGCAAAGCGACGGCATATGCCGCGTTGCGGCGTTGCGGTTGCGGTGACCATCTTTTACCTTCTTGCCCTTTCTGATCCCTCCCTGCTCCCATTCCCCACTGGTGACCTGGTGTAATGAAGGTCGCACTAGATGCAGCGACGTGGAACACTTGGGTTTTCGAGAGCGCGCTGAGGTGGAAAACCACCGCTTTAGCCCGGCTAACAGCCGATGTGACATCGTCTAAACGTCAGTAGTGCACTTTTTGCAATCGATCGATAGGTTTGCCGTCAGGAGGGAGGGAGGGGAGGCAAACGTCAGCCCGCTGTGCACGCGGTATATGACTGTTTGCCGCAGGAGTGGGGGGTAGCACTGAATAGTGTGTAGGGTGTCCCATATAGGGTGGCCTATAGCACCTCGATCCGAGTAACTCGCCGGTCTGAACACGCGTCTTGTTTGGGTTATGGCTTTTGACTGTCGGGGACTTGGCGAAGGCGTCTGTTTTTAGGCCAAGGACGTTTCATTGTTCGTGTATACACACGTGTATTCACAATCGGTTCTCCAGACGTAAGGAAGTTATTAGTTAATTGTGAACGGTATTGTTTCTCAGGGGTCGATTATTTGCTTTCAAAAAGTGAAGACGATATAAACTACTAATATGTTCGGTACTATTACTTTCCACGAGTGGTAAAGGTTAGGTATTTTTACATGCTTACAATTAAATATCACCTAGGTACTTGATGCTAAGGGAGCATTAATTGTACAATAAAGAAACGTTTCAGTAGGTGATAAAAGTAAGCGAAAGTATAGTGCTGACTGCTGATGTCACGAGTACCTAATTACAGGGTGTCTCAAAAGTTCGTTGACAGGTACCAGCCATGCTTTTTTGTCAATAATTCTGAATCAACAATAAATAAACAGTCGAAATTTTGCATGGGCATTGGTAACAACCTTCCTCAAGCAGTCTCATTGTTTTCAAACGCATTCGACCCTTCATGAGCCCACAAAAAGGGTTCATCTCTGACCATGGGTCAAGGATAAAAATGGAGGTCGCAAAATCGGATCGGCTGAGAAACTCTCTGTTTCAGGAGTAATGGGAATGGTTAAGTCGGAAATGACACATGGCAAAGTGTCGGCGAGGATGAGTACAACATGATGATCATCTAATAAAAACGTGGCTAAAATTTTTGAAGGACAAAACCATGCGAGACTAACAGCGTTTTGAACGACCCTCGTACGGCAGCAGACTCGTGCTCCGGAAAGCAGCTGAAAATGAAGGCATAACTATTGAAAACCGACAAGAAGCTCACAGACAGAGGTTACCCAGTTTCAAAAATTGCAGGTCATCGTAAAATAAAGACAAAGTATCATTTGAAATTGTTTATAATATCTAGAACACTACATTTTTGGGGAAAATAACACGAAAATCATCAATACCAAGGACAACTGACCCTCCAAAAGTGTCAATTAATGTAAAGTTTTATCTTACGAAGTTTCAAGAGGCAGATCTGGAGCGAATAGCTTTCTTTTAGACACAAAATCCCGACAAAACCACACGATGGACAGGTTTTGGCCGTTTACAAAGCAGAACCTCTCCTGAGGAAAACACTCCGCAACCCAGCGAAGGTCTTGGCATGGGGAATGACGAGCGTTTGGGATTTGCAAAATTTGCACAATGTGTCTAAGAAACAGATGGCCGACACATTCTTCTACGATATGCTGCGAAAAATTTTCCCCTGGCACTTCCCATTTGTTCAGAAATGGGGTTGTTTTGAAAAGGAAAATGGTGCTTGGGAGGTCGGCGCCAGTCATTCTTGAAGGAGTTAGCGCCAGAGAAGACCTACAAAATACTCACGGATGGTGTCGATGCACGCTGTCGGCTTTCAGGGAGAAGCGGATGTTGCCGGGGAGCTCATCAAACCTAATTCCGACGCA